TAAAATGATTATACAATGCTAATTCTAAATTAACAAGATTTCTTTTTTATCTTGAGGTACAAAATTTTACATATTTTTATTGTTTTTATGAAATTATGAAGTCTTTTAATATTACATAAAATATATTATAAGCTAATAAAATTATATAATTATATGTTTATAATGTTAAAACACACATTTTTTTTTTACATTTATAAAATGATTATACAATGCTAATTCTAAATTAACAAGATTTCTTTTTTTATCTTGAGGTACAAAATTTTACATATTTTTATTAAAGTTTTCTGTTTTCTTCCTTTTTTTTTTTATATTATTTTTTATGAATACAAACTATTTACAATTTATTTAACTATTATTGTATTTTAGGTCCTATTTTCTGTACTGAAGTATTCTTGCGTAGCTATTGCAATTTTGTGCGAAGGTGATTTCTTTTTTTTAATGTTTTTCTTATCCTGGAAGTTTTCTTTAGACCAAGTTTGATTTTTCTTCTTGAGTTTTTGATTGTTTTTAATGGTCTGGTGTCCATATGAATAATTTGTATGCCAGTGGGAGTGGAAGGTCTTAGTGGTGGAGGATTTGTAAACTGATTGGCATCATAGTTATAATGCAATATGTTATTTAATATTGCCTTTTCATGTTCTTTCCTGATACCTGCCATTAATTTTTGATTCGGCATGGGTGGCTGACCACTAGAAATTCTGTCTGCTATANTGGCATGGGTGGCTGACCACTAGAAATTCTGTCCGCTATTGCTAAAATCCATGGTCCGCAATCATATTCATTTTCCTGGTTTGTGGTCTCTCCTCTGAAGAGAAACCACGGTGATGAAGTTCCATACTTGGTACGTTCATGTTCACATAAAAAGTACTGTAATATTTTAACTTCCTTACCATTGTGACAGTCTAAGCTGTCATAGACAATAATTTCCTTCTGGCTCACATCTACAATAGCAATGATCCAATGATTGTTATTGATATTTAATGGTGCCATCAATAAATTTCTGGAAAATATGTCGTGCTTGAACTTGGCATTGATAATATCTATGCCTCTCCGTTCAATACTTGGAATAAAGAAGGAATCAAAGGCATAAATATTACCCTCGCTCCTTTTAACAATAAGGTTCATGAACTTATTGATGGTTTCATCGTTGTATAATGATTCTCTGGTATTGAAAGACATTATTGCACCTGAAGAAGTTAATTTAAGTAATATAGTAAATATTCATAAATTTAATTAATTTTAGTTTTGATTGTTGAATTTTGAATGCATAATTCTTGAGGTAGTCGTTTATACAATATTAAAATATTTACATGAGTGTGAAATCTTTACAATATATATATTCTATGCTAATATTTATAATTGTTATTATATACATTGTTTCCCCTTTTTTTTTTACTGACTTATAGCTAATAATACTTACAACCTAAAGGTTTAAATTAATTATTGAGTAGTTAAGCTAAAATATAAAGGTTAAAATTTAAAATTATTTATTTATTTATTTTGAATGATAAAAGTATAAAATGATTATTGACAAATAAAAATTATAAGTTTCACTTAGTTAAGTGATAAATAGAGTAAAGTTAGTATAGCTTATAAAAATTGATAGTAATTTGATACTTTAAAGTAAAATTTATAAAATATATTATATTTTGTATTAGTTTAGTTATAGTTAATGTGAATGTTAAATCTATATCTTGAATCTTAAGTATTTAAGTTTTATAAAATAAATATATACATTTTTTATATAAAATCATTTTTATGAATGATTTAAAATATTTTAATAATGCGAAACTTAAAGGTTCCTGTTTTGTTATTATAAATTTCTCTATGCTAAAGGTTAATACTAAAAATAATGATTAAATTTTAAATCTGGTATATATTTTTTTGTTCTTTTGTAATTTTATGTTTTTATTTTATTTTAATACATTAAAAATGTATGAAAATATGATTGAAATATTTTCTGTTTTTTTTTTTTTTTAAAGTTATGATTTGTAATATATATATATTTTACTGTCATTCTAAGGTTAATACTAACGCAATAGTTAATTGATAATGTAAAACAACATGCACTTAAGGTATAGTTTTAATATTTTCTAATGTAAAATTTAATTGATAAGATAAAATAGCATGCAGTTAAATTAGTTATAATAATTTCTAATGTAAAATTTAAAAGATAAGATGAAATAGCATGCAGTTAAAGTATAGTTATAATAATTCCTAATGTAAAATTTAATTGATAAGATGAAATAGCATGCAGTTAAAGTATAGTTATAATAATTCCTAATGTAAAATTTAATTGATAAGATGAAATAGCATGCAGTTAAAGTATATTTATAATAATTCCTAATGTAAAATTTAATTGATAAGATGAAATAGCATGCAGTTAAAGTATAGTTATAATAATTCCTAATGTAAAATTTAATTGATAAGATGAAATAGCATGCAGTTAAATTAGTTATAATAATTCCTAATGTAAAATTTAAAAGATAAGATGAAATAGCATGCAGTTAAAGTATAGTTATAATAATTCCTAATGTAAAATTTAATTGATAAGATGAAATAGCATGCAGTTAAAGTATATTTATAATAATTCCTAATGTAAAATTTAATTGATAAGATGAAATAGCATGCAGTTAAAGTATATTTATAATAATTCCTAATGTAAAATTTAATTGATAAGATGAAATAGCATGCAGTTAAAGTATATTTATAATAATTCCTAATGTAAAATTTAATTGATAAGATGAAATAGCATGCAGTTAAAGTATATTTATAATAATTCCTAATGTAAAATTTAATTGATAAGATGAAATAGCATGCAGTTAAAGTATATTTATAATAATTCCTAATGTAAAATTTAATTGATAAGATGAAATAGCATGCAGTTAAAGTATATTTATAATAATTCCTAATGTAAAATTTAATTGATAAGATGAAATAGCATGCAGTTAAAGTATATTTATAATAATTTCTAATGTAAAATTTAAAAGATAAGATAAAATAGCATGCAGTATAGTTATAATAATTTGTATGTAAGTATGACGTAGCAAATGAATTACATTTTTTTGTTTAATATATATATTTTTTTTATTTATATATATATATATTTTTTTTTTTTTAAAATTTTTTTTTTTTATTATTTTTTTTTTTATTAAAAGAATTTTATAGTTATGATTTAAAATTCGGAGTTAATAATACTAATAAATTGCTCGTATCCTATAGTACGTGATACGTACTTTAGTATGCATTCGACCATTTGCACATCATACCTAGGATCGTGTGCCAATCCATTATATTTTTCTGTGCATACAAGATTGTGTACCTCTCCTAAATTAAGTAGATTGCCATTTTTTTTTATGGGAGGAAGTGGAATTTTTATTATTATTTTTTCATTAAAATTTAGTATACATAAAAAAAAATCTAAGCTTATTTTTTGAAATTGTTTGCCCAGGATGTTTAATCCATTTATTTTTGTAATTCCCATTAGATTTAAAATTTTAACGTCACAGACGCCCCCATAAAAAAAATTATTGGCTTTTTATTTTTATCATTATAAATTATATTTCTTATTGTGTTGCCATTTAGAGTATCGTCCCAAGTCTCCATGGAAAATTCCAAATTTTGTATGGCAGAGGGTATTAGGTGTGGTTTTCTAGCTAGGTTTTTTTTTATTTCAATTTTGAGATTTTCCAATTCTTTTTGTTCGATAATGGTCTGGCTATGTGGTAATAACCGTATAGCTCTACCATCCAACGGCAAAACCAAAGGTAAGGAACCCTTCATGGTTTCTTTAATAGCACCCGCCATAAGAACATAATGATATTCATTATATAGGATGAATTCAAAGTCAATTATAAAAAATCTGGAATTCATTATGTATTATAACTTTAGTGTATATAATTATGTTAAAATAAAATTATTGTGTTTATTTATTTATTTATTTTTTTTTTTTTAAATTTGGGAACACTTATACAAGAAATACAAAAAAAATGTAAAGAGAAAGGAGAAAAATAAATTATTAAATAAGTAAATAATTTTATATTATANTTAAATTTGGGAACACTTATACAAGAAATACAAAAAAAAATGTAAAGAGAAAGGAGAAAAATAAATTATTAAATAAGTAAATAATTTTATATTAGATGATAGTTTAAATTAAAGAAAAGAAATTTTTGTTTACTTACAAAATTTTTTGAAGTTGTTTAGGTGGCTAATTCTGAAGATAGAAAAATCTTGAATGTTGAATGCAGTTGAATAGGCAGAAGACTGTTGATGGCTAGGGGTAGTTGCAAGAACTAATTTATTTTGCTGTAAGATCGGCGATATTGATTTTCGATACAGAATTAGATCATTTAGTGGGAGTGTATTATGCAAGAAGGCGACATCTTGACATTAAGATCATGGGGTTGAAAAAATTTTGGGTGGGATGTACTAATACGCTCAAGGGTTTATGCGCTCTATTGGGATGCGTTGGTATTATGATGATAGAGTTTAAAAAAAAATNGATGCGTTGGTATTATAATGATAGAGTTTAAAAAAAAAATGTTATTTGAGTTAGAATTTAATAATGATAAATATTCGAAGAGTTAATCTCAGGAAAAAAAAATTTATGTTA